TTTCCATGTACTTGCCAGGCATCTTAGCGTGCGTGAAGCTGCACTCTCGGAACAATATTATGCAGCACGTGCAGCCATTCTGTAAGGCTCCTCTGTCTGAAACGAAGCAGTCCAGATTCATATGTCTGCAAAAGTCGCAGGGCTCTTTGGCTCGATTAATTGGGAGACCATAGTTAGATTGCACATTGACTGACGGCGGTTCAGTCTGCTGGTTGAGATCATCCTGCTCCGGCAGGTCATTGGGAAAGTCCAACGGCTGCTCATGTAGAAGGCATTCGTAGTTTTCAATTGCCTCGTTCTCATCGAGCTCAAACCTGTCAGAAGCCACCTCGTCGTCTGGGACATGGGAGCCAAACGAGGCTCCGTCGAAATCGAAGTATTCCATTTTCAGGGATACTTTACTCCGACACCGATGCCGTATTGAGTCAGTGCTGGTTAATCGACTTCGAATAACCGAGATCAACAGTGTTGTTCGAGTTGACTCAAAATGGAGGATAGAAACGAAGTAGAATCAGAGCAGGTCTATGATTGCAAGTTCAGAGTGGAATGGAGGAGCTGACGGAGGGAAGAGGGACGAATAGTGCAGTAGGCAAGGTCCGATATTATCTTCGTCTGGGGTATCAGAAGCATGCCGAAGTACCGACGGACCAAGTCAAGCACTCTTTGTTCTGACCACCTTGCAGAAAATCGATTGGACTGGAGGCTTGGAAGGTGGAACAATCGTCTACGTCGCCTTTGGAGGCAGTTGACTAGCAGGGATTCAGATAGCCTACTCTGTGATCATTAATTTTGATTTGCTCAGTCGCCGGTGGGTTGTCTGGGACTGATGATCACGTTCGGCCTAGTAGGCACGACTGATGAGTTTGACCCCCGCGGAATTGCATGGTAAAGGGCCACCTGTTTCTACAGTTTCTAGGGTTGAGCAACCACAGATGGACAGTAGTGGAGAGATAGCGGTGTCACTGGCACTGACATGACGGCTCCCAATCCCAGGGAAGAAGGGGATTGCCCGTTCGGAGAGGGACGCGCGAAGTCCGGAAGACTGCCTGAGTCATCTGCATGTATGGTTAGTTAGTGCGCGCCCTTCGATGACAGCGCTATGCCTGATTTAGTCTAGGTTTTGGTTGCGGGGACGCGCCCTGTCCTTCCTGATTGGGTAGGAACGAATCAGCCCATCAACGATATCGGAGGGGAAACAGTGGATTATCATCATCGATATGATAAACTCTCGTATCAACGCGTGCGACTACGAGTCCAGATGCTTGGCGGTGTCGACTTGATCAATGAGGCTGATCCCTGCTGGTCCTGACGTATGTTGTTGCTTTTTGTGAACTTTGGTCTGACAATCCATCAATCAGGTTTAGAACTACAGTTATTCTGACTCGTGTCATCAACACGTCTGAGACCCAAGCAGTCGGCATTTGGATTGCACTTGCGTACTTTTCATATCCACGAGACCATCCTACCTACCTGTCCAGTCCGTAAGGTAGGGACATGAAACTAGCTTACGTATAGAATGTGAAGACCTATGAAATTAACACTGAAAATGACTACTTCGACGGCCATTTACAGCTGCGTTTCCACCTACCCTATCTTAGTAGGAAGCTGCTGCTTTAAAGTATTACACATAATTTACACTACCATTCTGCACCTACTAAGCATTGTTTAGTTACCTTCCTAAGATAATGTTATTATTTAACCTCAGTAAGTGCCCTGTGTAATTTAACCTATTCCTAAAGTAATACCAAAAAATGGCCTCCTCTGCAGGCTGTAGTGTGGTGTATGCGCTCTACCTGTGCAAGCCTCTTTACCTCATCCTGTGTTTTGGGGCAATTCAGCACTGGTGGGAGCAGATCATTTAGACTGTACATGTGCTGCAGCTCCACTTCCACAGCGTCTCCCTCCTTAAGTCTTTTGTTCTCAGCAGTCTTCTCTCCCCTGTTATCTTTCCCCCTAACAGTCCTCTCCATCCTGCATGATTCTGCTGCTGTCCTGACCTGTCTGCTGTCCGTGGTTGGCTTTTGTGTCTTTTAATGGAAGATTGGGCATTCCGTCACTGCCCAAAGACGAACCTGGATTTCCTTTATATCTGCCCTAATGATTGCGACTGTTAAAAGAAGGTAGCGGGCTTCCCATCATCCTCATTGAACTGGATTGCTTCCAACAACGGACGGCTAGCTATATTAAGCTACAAAGGAGCTGACCCGCCACGAATCTTCACGTGCATGCTTTCAGCAATTGGTAATTGTCTAGATATTTATACTCCATACGCCCTGTGAGACTACTATCATGCTATGTTCCTTATCATAAAGTAGTCTACTGAAATTGCAGGAGCCATAAGACTGACCCTAACGCGCATGTCTCAATAGATACAGGTCAATGGACTCGTAGAGCTCGATGGGACCGAAGCGGAGCGAATAATAAAGTGGTCTTCGTGGTTATTGTATATCGCACCACGGTCTTCATGACCTAATCTATTTGTTGTGTTCTTGTCTTTATGCTATTGGGACTCTAGAATCCCCTCTGCAATCGTTCATTGTGAAGACTTGTTTGACATGAGTTGAACACAATCAGTCTATCAGTACTGCTAAGAATTTGAGATGGAGTGTCGAACTGCATCATGAGCCCGGGAATTTCGTTGACGTTGGGGACGCAGCGTATATGTCTGGTGAGCAATATGGTTCCAGCAGGTCCTGGCAGTCGTTCGACAGATCTACCCACTGGAAGCCATCTTCTAATCCCTGTCACTTATGGGCCAGTACCTGGAGTATTCGATGTACTTGCTTTGCTGGCTAGCGCTCGCTTCGCTCACTGCCAGCGCAGGGTTCGGACATATGGCCCTCACCATCTTACTAAGAATCTTACGGTCTTACCTCTCAGAAAAGATTAGTCTTTTAAGGTGTAAATTTACATCTATTTTATAATAGTAATGAAATAGACATAGGAATAGCTAGAATAGAGTAGCTTAGAATAATATATATTTTAAGGGCAGTAGGCAGCCCTGTAATAGGGGCACTATACCTAGGTAATAGTAGATACTGGTGAGGAGAAGGTAGAAGCTTTAGAGCCTTGGGAGGTCTGAAGGAAGAGGCTTAGAGGCTAAACCCAAAGAGGGTGTTTCTTGATAAGAGTAGATGCAAATCCGGGGCCCGCTATTGATCTCAGCCAATCGGAATTGCGGTGGTACGCTGTGGGCCTGTGGCCTTACAGCTGAGAACCTACCTTACCTACAGCAGACCATAGCCGCCGCAAATAAAGTTTTGACCACTGCGCTTAACCATAAGGCTGCGAAATAAACCCTGTATATTGAGTAGTACAATTTGAGGGTCACATGATTGATTCTAATTGATTAGAATAGGTTGTGTGTCCCTAAGTTGCCGATGTTGTCTTAGTATATAGAGTTCATAGCAGGAGGTTACGATATGGTGCCATGCCCCTTATTATTAAAAACCCCAGGGTAGCAAACACAGGCGCTACCCACCTAATTCTCACTTGATGTCTTTGCTTAGGACAAACATCAACTGAACACGGGGCATACTATTCAATGGCAGGTATTGGGGATCAGAGAATAATTCACAGCTTTAGAAAAAGCAGATACGTTGATGATCTGAACACGGGCTCTTCGGCCCATCCTGTCCGTCTCGGGGTGGGATGTGCTTAAGGTACACCAGTCTATCACCTCCTCCTGACTTCGCTGCTTGCTTCGTACTCATCAATTCCAATATGGAGAAACATGCTAAAACATCCTTCATCTCCCGTGTTTGGCATTGAATCCATCCGCTACCTTTCTCGTCGTCCTGATGATGTCAACACATCCAGGAGAGTCAGAGTGGCAGCAGATTGAGACAGGGTACGTTTTCAGTGGCAGTTGCACAATAGTCCCATCAACTGCCGTGACTGACTGCTCTTCGACCTGCTGTCTGACGTGTTTCTCAACATCTGCGAGGTTCCAGGGCTTCTTCTTCCGATCAATCACAAGCATGCCGTTCGAGTCGTATTTCACATCGCCATATAGCTCAGCCCAGAACACGATCCCCAGATCGTTAGCAGCTTTCTCCATCTGAGTGCCTGCCAGTCCAAACACCGGTACACCTTTTGGAACTCCCAGCATAACCGCCTTGGCAACCTCATAGTCCCGGCACATCATACCGTACAATACCCCATGAGGCTTTACATGGTGCAGGGGAACCCCTTCACGGTCGAGGAAGCCTTGGAGCGCCCCAACCTGGTAGATTGTGATTGCCGTGAGCTCTTCTGGAGAGAGCTTCATCTCCCGACGACCGAACCCTTGCAGGTCTGGAAGACCGGGGTGAGCGCCGATTCGAACATTGTGAGCTTTGCAATTTTGCACCGTTTCCATCATAATGAGCGGGTCGCCCCCATGGAATCCGCAGGCAATATTGGCGATATCGATCATGGGGAGGAGCTCGAGGTCAGGCCCGCAGGTCCAGTTGCCATACTAGGAGTACATCAGTAATGCTACCATAACGAGCGTGTTAAGCTCAGGGAGCGTATATAATTACAGCTTCCCCCATGTCACAATTGATAAGTGCCTTTTGCTGTATTGGTGCCATTGCAATATCGCAATCCGAACGAAGTTAGGAAAGCTGTGATGTCCCTCAACAACGGATGACTTCCAGAAAACGCTTGGGGGAGCGGTCAAGCAAGGACCAGGTGGCAAGCAATACAGACATGCCCTAAAATTCAGTCTCTTTCAACTCGCACGGCCAAATGGAACTTTGCACTGAGGGGTTCGGAGCTTATCAGTCATGAAGTCAGATTCTCCGCATTTTCTCCAAATATCCAACAAACGACGATCACGGCCATACCCCACGACAATCATACCTTGTTATCTGGCATTGAGCCCAGGAGTTAGTTTCTTTCATTGGAGTAAAGCGCCGAGGAGTTCATCCTTCAGTGCAGATAATGATCCTCTTAAGCGGAGGGGGCCCAAGTTATGTTGCTCCAAGGCACACCGCTAGCTGCTGCTCTGCATCGCGATGGAGTGTTTAAGGACTCTTCTTGTTGCCAACAGAGGCGAAATCGCCGTCAGAATTATCAAGACCGCAAAGTATGGTTACGCAAGCTGAAGCTGCTGATTATCTCTGACGTTGTGATCCAGGAAGCTGAATCTTCGTACAATTGCCATCTATACCGAGCCAGACGCTGCCTCTATCCATGTTCATCTAGCGGATGTCGCCGTTCTCCTCTCTGGTTCGGCCTCAAAAGCATACATTGACAGGTGAGTCTGCTTTCCTCCTTTCAAGATTATTCTAACCCAGGGGTCTCCAGTGATCAAATTATTCAGATTGCAAAGCAGAACAATGCGGATGCTATTATCCCAGGTTATGGATTCTTATCTGAGAATGCGGATTTCGCGAGGGCTGTGGCTGCCGCTGGTCTAGTATTTGTAGGACCCTCCCCTGAAAGCATTGAAGCTTTTGGCCTCAAACATACCGCACGAGAACTTGCGACGAAGGCCGGAGTTCCCATCGTGCCCGGATCACCTGGCCTGATCGAGAATGAAGATGACGCTGTGGAAGTGGCTCAGAAATTGGGGTATCCAGTATGCGTCGTGAAACAGGAGAGAATATTTGGCGGGACTAATGGATGGTGCAGGTCATGCTGAAAGCCACCGCTGGTGGTGGTGGAATGGGCTTGCTTACATGCAATTCCGAGGCCGAGGTACGCAAGTCCTTCGCAACTGTCAAGTCGCGAGGAAAAGCATTATTCAAGAACGCGGGCGTGTTCATAGAGCGTTATTATCCATCGAGCCACCACATAGAAGTTCAGGTGTTTGGTAACGGAGATGGTAAGGCGATCTTTATTGGCGAAAGGGAATGTTCGATACAAAGAAGGCATCAGAAGGTGATTGAAGAATGTCCGAGCCCTTTCGTCTCCAGAAAACTGGGGTTGCGAAAGAGCTTGGGTGAGGCTGCCATCCGTCTGGCGGAGTCGATCAACTATGGTTCGGCAGGGACGATTGAATATCTTGTCGATGATGAAACCGGCGCATTCTTCTTTCTTGAGATGAACACTCGCCTACAGGTTGAGCACGGGATAACTGAACTCTGCTATGGCATTGACTTGGTTGAACTCATGCTGGATCAAGCGGATGCCCAGCTTTCTGGGAGGAAGGGAGTTGAAGCATCTTTCCTTGAAAGCTTACCCGCGGAAGCCCCTTCTGGCGCTGCTATTGAAGCAAGAGTGTATGCTGAGAATCCGACCAAAGATTTCGCGCCTTGTCCTGGAACCTTGCAAACCGTCGAATGGAAGGAAATACCAGGTTCAAGGATTGATACATGGGTCTATCCAGGCATCAAAGTATCCGCCAATTACGGTATATCCCACGAGCACCGTTCTCTTTTTGAGCATTTTGCCCGGGCTGACAGAAGCATATAGACCCCCTACTCGCGAAGGTCATGTACCACTCGCCAGATAGACAGCAGACCATCATGGGAATGAGGGAAATTCTAGGGGAATCACGCATTTGCGGGCCTCCAACCAATCTGGATTTCCTGGTTAAGATTCTAGAAGAGGAGACCTTTGTCGCAGGCAACACATTGACAAGATTTCTGGATGATTTTCAGTACACCCCGTCAGCAATCGACGTCATTTCGGGCGGCGCCTATACCCTCATCGAAGACTGGCCCGGTCGACCGACCATAGGAAGGGGGTTTTGTCATTCTGGGCCAATGGACCCGCTAGCTTTCCGCATCGCGAATGCACTTGTCGATAACCCCGTCGGCCTCGAGGCTCTGGAGATTACCCTGAGCGGTCCAGATCTACGCTTCCTCGGGCCAGCAATTATCTCCCTTTGTGGAGCGCCGATTGAAGCTAAACTCGATGGAGATACTATTCCAATGTGGTCAAGAGTCAAGGTAGCCGCTGGTCAACGTCTGACTATCGGTAAAACTACAGGAAACGGCTGCAGGGCTTACCTCGCTGTCTTTGGTGGATTCCTCAATGTGCCCAAATGGTTCGGGTCAAAGTCGACATCTCCAGGTGTAGGAGTTGGAGGCTATCAAGGTCGGCAGCTTTCATCGGGAGACCTTCTCGCAATCACAAGCGTGATTCCGGAAGTCAATAGTGATCTCCGTATACCAGAACACCTCATCCCCGATTACCCAAGTCACTGGGAGCTACTAGCCATGCCAGGACCCTACGATGAGGGCTATCTTACTCCCGAGAGTATCGATATGCTGTTTGAGACCCAGTGGAAGATTTCACACAATGCGGCAAGAGGAGGCATCCGTCTCATCGGTCCCAAACCACGGTGGGCTCGCTCCGATGGGGGAGAGGGCGGCGCACATCCCTCTAACGTGATAGAATACGGATACGCAATCGGCTCGCTCAACTGGACAGGCGACGATCCCGTTATCTTTCCACAAGATGCCCCGGACTTTGGGGGATTTGTTAGCAGCCATACGATCGTAAAGGCAGATCTATGGAAGTTGGGACAGGTGAAAGCGGGGGACACCCTGAAATACCGAGCAGTGTCTTTGGCCGATGCCCTGGATGCACGGAGGGATATGGAGAGGTTCGTGGACGAACTGGTACATTGCTGCAAGCAAGGGCACGGATTCAACAGCGTGAAAGCTCTGAGAGGCATGCCTCCCGAGCAGACAGCCGAGACTCGCGGCAAAGGCGTGGTGCATCGGGTTGAAGAGCAAGGGAACCAGCCCCTTGTGTCTTACAGACAGGTATGGTGCACTCGTCGTTGGGTCATACGGGTCCCAGCTGATCAACTACTTCCTTAGGCAGGGGACGACTATCTCCTCATTGATTATGGCCCGGGTCATTTGACTTGAACCATCGCTGCAGAGTCACTGCACTAAAGAAGGCACTCAATGAAGGAAAAGAGATCACGTTCTCGAATGGGCTCGTTTCGACGGTTGGATGCGGAAATTGTAAGAATTTGTCCGGACACAAGACTTCATTACTGACTCACTTTTCGCAGCGCTGATGCTCTACTACGACGGCATGAAACTCTCTCAGCTAAGACTAATCAGCTACCTCTGCGACCTCGAGACAAAACTTGGAGATCTTAGTCAAGCAAAGATGCCGAGTCGGCTGTTCAGGCTTCCTCTCACGTTCGAGAGTCAAAGACAAAAGGATGCCATTCAGCGTTACATGGAAACACAGCGTCCGTACGCTTCCTATCTTCCAGATAACATGGAATTTGTAGCCAGAAACAACGCTTTCACAAAGGAAGAATTCGAAAACATTTTCCTGACAGCCAGCTTGATGGTTGTCTCTGTCGGATTCTTCACTGCACTTCCGCTCGCCCTCCCTGTGGATCCTCGTCAACGAATGAACTGCCCTAAAATGAATCCAAGTAGAGTATATACTCCAGCCGGCTCAGTATCATGGGGTGGAAGCTGCATGGCGTGAGTACTATTCAAGAATTTAGAGACTCTCAAAGACAAACGTTAACCGCAATCAACAGGTTGTACAATGTTGATTCACCTGGTGGATATCAACTGACCGGAATGACCATACCGGGCGTCGACATCTTGGGCTCGAAGAAAGGCTACAGCGCCGACAGACCGTGGCTCTTCGAAGAATTTGATCAGATAACCTTCTACCGAGTCTCCGAAGAGGAATACGAAAAGCAGCTGGCGCTGTTTAATAGCGGCCAATACGAATATCAATGGGAGGAGGTTGTTTTCGACATGGCGGAGCACAATCGGCTCTTGCAGGAAACGCGCGACGAAGTAGCAGCCATCCGAGCACGCCAGCGTCAGGCGCAGGCTGAAATGGATAAAATTGAAGCAGAGCTGCTCGAACGCTGGGCGAAGGAAAAGGCCGAGAGGGGAGTATCTCAGGACACAATCGAGAGTTTACTTCAAGGTAGGCCTTTCCAAGGACCATCGAACAAGTCGATGCTAACATGTACGTCCCTTGATACAGACCCCGAGATCATTGCAATCGAAGCCCCCTTGAATACCAATGTGTGGAAAGTCGAGGTCAAACAAGGGGACAAGCTTGAGGAGAACCAGGTTGTGGTCATACTAGAAGCGATGAAACTCGAAATCGCTGTGCGAGTCGAGCCTTCTGCAGCGGGTGCCACTGTGGAGAAAGTTTTGGCACCCCCAGGAGAACCGATCGAGGCTGGCAAGCCACTATTACTTGTGCGCAAAGTCAAGACCTGAGTGTAGAGTCGATAATGGTACTCTCATTTGGTTTGGCCCAAGATGACCTGTAAACTGTCTACGTAGTATACCGTAACCACCAGATAAACTCTGGGAATCTCCAAGTCTAAGCTTAACCTTTTAGACAAATAACAATAACGATCGTTTCATCGGTATGGTATCTCATCATCAATCATCAAAGGGAAATGGAAATGGCTCGCTGAAGCGTCTATTCCCACCAGAAACTGACGCTAATTCCAGCCTTGACGCCACGGACATAATGCCACCATCCCACTGGAATATACAAGCACTCCCCTTCCTTCAGCACAGTCTCGACGTACTCGGCCTCCAAGAACCCAGGCCACATCGCATCCCACTGTTCGGACTCGGCCGGGGAGAGCTCAATGGCTGCCAGGTCGACCTGAGAAGTGTTGGACATGTCGATGAGCTGAGTCTGCTTCTCGACCCTAGCTTCCGAGCCTTTCCCTTGCAGCTGGGCGGTATCAGTCAGGCCCGCCGAGGCATTGGACCCGGACGATGAATTGACGGCCTCCATGCCCTTCGGATAGATCTGCGAGGCCGGCGTATGAGGCGAGTAGAGCCGAATGTACTTTGCGCCGACGACCTGGACCAAGATGTTGTGGTATGGATCGTGGTGGAGAGGAGATATGGTCCATGAGGGGCCAATCCAGGTGTTTATGATCGGGTCGCTGGCGACTCCCAGGACGGAGGTCTCGTCGTCGGACGCTGCGTGATCATGCTGTTGCTGCTCGTGCGACTTTGTATGCGTTTCGCTGCCGCCTGAAGACGCATTGCTGGATTTCAGTTTCTCTTCTCGCTCTCGCTGCTTCTTGAGGTAGACTGGCGTTCCTGGCTCCGGACCCGGAGGCTCGATGAAGCAGTAATCGGGGATGCAGATGTCCTTTCGCAGAGCCGGGATCTGGGAGAGCAGGTCATGCTGCGCCATGTACCCCGTTTCGCCTGTATCGTTGCGGTCGTCCTCGCCTTCCTTCCCAGCCTCTGACATCTTGCCTTCTCCCCTCCAGAGAAACTTGTCGACGAATTCTCGAAACTCCATGATTCGCTGGCCCCATCCTTCGTCCGTGTAGGATCTGCCCACCTCCACGGGGACGAGCCTGCGGCCGCCGAGGGTGCGATCGAACCAGTAGTCGCGTGACGCCCAGGGCCGGGTCGACAGCGCAGGCCAGTGGTCCACCGCGTCGGTGATGACCAGGGGTGTTCTGACGTGCTGGATATGGTGTTCGATGGCATCGAAGGAAGGCGCGGAGACCCGGGGGATAGGATGTTTCAGCGTCGTCGCAGGCAGAGCATCGGGGGGGAAGAGCGGCGGGGAGAGCTTCCTGCGTTTAAAGGCCTGGCCGTCGAGATCTGAATTACTGCGGTGGTCTTGGATGGATCGCGGATCCGCCCTCTCTTCACCGTAAGCTTTTGTAGCGAGGTGAAGAGCGGAGAAGAGCGATTCGACCAGGTTCTCGCGCAGGGGCGCGCCCGTCATGATCAGTGCATTGTCGAGGGTGTGGATTGACGACAAGAGCCATGGCGCGTCGGGGTCAAGTTTGTACTCGGCTTGCTCCTTTTCGCTTGGGGTTGGGTCGAGCTTCGACGCATTTTCAGTGCCGTCTGCGAGTCTGGAATTGTTGGAATCGTTGTCTACCGATGTTCCGTCGCACGAGAAGCCACAGTTGTTGCAGATAGCCAGGCACACCTTCGCAATGCTCGCGTCCGTGTAGAGTCTTCGCCAGCATGTCTTCACATCTTTGAATGGGAAAACGCGTAGTTTCGCATCGGCAAGCTCGAGGGCACGGCCTGTATCCTTCAAAAGAAGCTCGCGTAGTGCAGCAAGATCGTTGTCACAGCATTCGAGGATAGGATCTTGGGAATCTGGATTGCGGAGGGCGGCCAGCGTGTTGGCGATCACGGAGGTGAGATGCGTCATCTCTGCAGAAGGAGGATTAGAGAGTCATGAAGACAGAGCGTATCAGTTCTAAGAGAAATAGAGATCAATGAGATGTTAGAAGTAGACTGAGGGTATTCTTACTGCAATTGTGCTTTTTAAGCTGTGTTTTCTCTCTTCACTCCAAAGATTAGTTAGTGAAAGCGACGTCATTGCAAAGCGAGTACGGTGGAAGTGAATTAATTCTCCATGCTACAATAGTGTTTACATCTGTTTTCCTCTTTTTAATGGAGGTAATAATGTGTAACAGTCCCTCAATAAAGCAAAAGCATTGATTTTCATTAATATGAGTGGGACTGGAGTGTGAATTCAAGTAGAAGAACACATTCTAGTGAATCATCATACATCTATATATACGCATATCTCAGAAGGAATTCTATCCTATGAACCATTTTCTACATATAATACAAAATCATCTTTTCCTCAACTCCTCCCAGATGCCATCACTGATGCAACATAGGCTTAGTCTAGCAGCTCCAACACAAGCCTTGGAATTCGACTGACTCCCTCGCCTCTGATGGCGCTTACTGGAACGGCGCAGACCTTCTCTTTCCAACCATCTGGGTATCCTCCTGGGTGGTCGACCGCACCATTTTGAACGGCAGCGAGGTAGTCTCGCAGGACCTTGAATCTGTCCTGAGTTTCTGGCAAGTCGGCTTTCGTAGCCACGACAAACCAAGGTTTTGTGTGAATAGGTGGAAGTTCAAGAGAAGGGAGCTGTCCTTTCATGTTGTCAGGGGTATTCGTCGTAGGATTCCATGGAGAAGCTAAGTCGTACACGGGATGTTGTGAAGTGAGTTCAGGCAGACCTCCAGTCGGTTGCCATTCATCTTCGCTTTCGAAGACAGGGTCGGTGTTACGTATCCGTTCATATTCCCCAAGCTCGTGCCACAAATTTTGAAGGCCTTGCACAGGGTCTCCTGCACTCAAATCTACCACGAAGGCCAGAATACCCGCCCGCTCAATGTGTCGCAGGAAGCCTAATCCAAGGCCACGGTCGAGATGTGCGCCTTCTATCAGACCTGGAATGTCTGCTATGGTGAAGTTGGTCCGCATTGCCTTTCCCTTGGCCTCAACAAGCGGCCTTCCCTTGTGGTCATCGATAACGACAGTCCCGATACTGGGCGAGAGCGTGGTGAACTCCCAATTTCCAACGCGCGTGCGGCTGTTGGTCAATGAACGAAGAAGCGTGCTTTTACCGGCATTCGGCTTCCCGACTAATCCAACATCGGCCAGCAGCTTTAATTCAAATTCAAGCTCCAGGCGCATACCCCCTTCTCCCCTAGACGCGAACTTTGGCCGAGTGATCGAACGAGATACCCAGTGGGGATTGCCCAGACCGCCGACGCCTCCGGCGGCCAGCAAGATCGGCTTATCCATGGGTTTTGAAAGGTCGAGGTATATCGGCGCTTTGGGTTCCATAGCGGCTATATTTTGCCTTCGAGGAGGATTCCTTGGAAAGGCCGTGGTCAGGAAATCGGAAGGATTGGAGCCCGGGTAGAGCACCCAGCGATCTTGACGGACTGAGGGAAGCCCGATCTCATCGAGCTCGTCGACATCCACTGCAGGCGCCTTTCGACGCTTCAGTTCCTCCGCCACTGGGTCGTACCGCTCTACCTCTCGCACGACTGTCCCAACGGGAACTTGTAGTAAAACATCCTCTCCTCGCCTGCCTCCTTTGCTCTTCCCTTGTCCATTCTTGCCCCTTCCAGCTTTGATTACTCCTCGACGAGCAAGTTTGTGCAGGCTAGTAATGCCCTCGACAGCTTGGATATAGATGCTTCCGCCGCTTCCACCGTCGCCCCCGTTTGGCGGCCCTTCCTCGATGTACTTCTCACGCAGGAACGAGACACATCCATTGCCACCCGACCCAGCATATATTGTGGAGCGACATTTGTCCTGAAATATAAACCGAGAATAATCGTCAGGCGGTGGATTCAGGTGAGAAAGGTCAGGCGAATTTTCGGCATCTTGAGCGGTGATTGATCGTTCCTTCGGTTGTGATGAGCCCCGGTCGCTGCTGTACCATCTACCACGTACTGAGGCGACTCTCAAGTAGGATATTTTTGTGGTTAGTGGTCGCGCGGTTCGTTGAAGGACAGAAGGAAACGAGAACAAAAGACTTGTTCTTGAAGTCATTATTTCAGATCGCAGTCTCGGCGTGGTTCATCCTGGAGAACGAAATCTGATCTAGGACACAGACATTGATTTTGCGCAAGATAGCAACATTCCTGAATTCCCACTCGGAAACAAAAACAGAGATAATATGAGGCAAAACGTCGTTAGTGAAGCTTCTTTCGAAGCTCAATTCTTGCGATAATATCACGTGATAGTAATCATTATCGTCACGTGTAGATAGCAGATATGGGTTGGTGCCTTTGCAGCGTCGCTCCGAAATCATCTGGCTCCAAACTTAAGCAGTTGCAGTTTGCATTTGATTTTGCATCCCTGTTCGCGAGCATGAAAATGAAAACTCCAGGCACCTGGTCATGATTATTGTGGCTCAACACAAAATGCCCGAACAAATCCAATCAGACCAGCTATCCAGTGTCCTAATTGCTTGCTGAAATAGTAACAGAGTTGTCACACTCCGTGAAATTCTACATGTCAACTGCTTGGCAAGTTGGCATACGATCTTTGGGCCTAGCTTGGGGGCAACACAGCTCCGAGATGTGACGATGACAGATCAATGGGACCAATCAATTGCCGATCTGCTATAGCTTGTCAAAAAAAATCCTGGATATCAATTGAATATGTGACCTAGGATGCTAAGTTGCTAAGAACCTGAGTCTATTATTGGGCCCAGAACCATGGTCCTAGCTTGCAAGGGCTAGATGCATGTCTAGCTCACCCCCGGACCTAGGGAACCTCGCACACAAAGTACGTGATTACCTCGCAAACCCACCAGCCATTCTGATCGACGATGGGGAAGTGGAAACAGTGATGCCAAGTACTTTTGTCTAGTTGATGGTGGACGCGAGGATCGACGCAGCACTCCGAACAGCCGGGCCCAGGCTAGAGCTGTCAGCGTTTCCGAGCCAGCCACAATGTCAGTCTGCGCTTCACTATCACAGAGGTTGCTTACTCAGAGTGCTCCTCGTACTTGCGTGACGCGTCTCGAACTTGACTTGTCCTTGAAATAATGTTGTCTCGAATCGCTTCCACATCGAGTCTAGACACAGTACTTTTGGATTGAGTGCTTGAGATATATACGGAGTACGGAGTCTGTCTGGTGAGATGAGAGACAGAGGGGATCCCTACCATTGTCGCCTCACTCTACAATGGCACTATGGGACTCATTGCCCAGTTTCTGCAGCCATTGGAAACAAAGCTCGCCTGTCTTCGGCTTGAAAGTTGAAATTATCTAAAACCGGGACTTAATGAATCCATGCTTGTCTTGAACGGGCCTTATGCTGTAAGGTCTATTTCAAGGTGGTGCTCGACCAGCATCGCAGTGCAGACGCCACACAAGAGTTATATCCACAAAGTAATATGGCTATATTTTCCTCCAGCAATCGCGATGAAGGACCAGTTGTCAATACCACACAGAGTTCGGTAACGATTGTCGATGCAGGACTTCCAGAACCATTGGAGCCGGAGTGTCGGGACTGCATCAACCTAAGTCAACCTGTCAGATTAGCTGACGAGACGATCCCTGTCATCGCATGATTTCAGTGACCGATGACGAGGTGGTGTCAGCGCTGATGTTGGTTGCAGATGCATCACGAAGGATCACCATTGAGATCTCGACTTGGCTGCTTATGGATCTTAAAAAAAAGTAAAGTAAAGTCAAACCAAGATTCCTGGTCATGCCACCAATGACTGCGGCCAGCTATGCGACACTGGCGTACGGAGTACCACGTTCTCACCTGCTGACCATTTTGCTGGAGACCTGAAGACATGGACGTGGCTTGCTGATGATGAAGTGGTACAGCTTAGCAGTGTTGTTTAATACATGGGCTTATCGTCTACCCAATGGCGCACAGTGACGTTGACTATAATGAAATATGACTATAGCTGACATCCTTGCAACAAAGTCATAACAGATTTTCAGCCTGAAGAGGTCAGCTCTCAACAACGCATTCTGTAGTCTGTCTCGACATCCAGGATGGTACCTATCTAGAACCCGACCCGCATCACTTCCAAAAGCCCTCGGAGATACTTCCAGGTTTCCATCCATGATACTTGGCTGACTGCATAATTCCTTTTTATGCGTCCCACACGTTGACGTCCATAGCCCGCACAAATTCCTGGCATTGAGTTATCTAGGCCTTGTCTAACGCTGTAGTCTGTCAGGGATAAGTTTTAGGCTCAAATGTCTGAGTACGGAGCCCTCAAGCTTCCAATAGGCAGTCATTCCACCTCTATGTACCTGGTAACTTGATTGACAACCTGGACGGAGTAGGTACCTTAGATACCGCGGAAGGTTTCACCGTCGACGGATCCCGTTAATCCAATAGGAAAGCGGCCCTGATACCGCGGGAAAGGGAAGGTCGGAAGGTCCTTGATTATTCTGGCATGGTGCAGCTCACATGATCGATGGCAGGTGAAATAGTCGCTGGACTAAACAGGGCCTAAAAACAGGGCGGGACTAGGAAAGGGGGGCCGGGGGAATGGAAAATTGTACCTTTTGCCGCCCTAGGCAGAGACAAAAAGACACAGGTCGATTAGACTATCGAGAATTCTTCACTATTTGGAAAATTATTATTATTAAAAGAGGTCCTGTACAGTAAAAGGTCAAGACCCACTATGAAGATGATCTAACTAGGTAATGTGCTAAACTGTAGTACTAGTCTCAGAGAATGTTATCCATCACCGCGGCACCTGATTGTACTTTCCGCTGCTGGTAGTTACAAAGTCTCCAGTTTGAGTCATACCTAAGTACGGAGTACGAATTTAATCTCTTGTCGACAGCATGGACCAATTTGGTAAAGATGAAATACTCCCTAGTAGAATGGGCTAATTGAGTTGGAGAGCTTGTGGCTGACCGCTTCCACGATCCAGGATGCAGTTTTGCCTGGACTAATCCTAGCCCAGTTGGAGTCTATAGAGACAACTGCCCCCAATGGTCACCTGAGACACTCATGTGGTTCTATCTATTGTCTGTATGGAGTAGAAGGAGCTGCCTGACCATGTCTCTGCCGCCACTGTCCCGCATTCTACGACTAGCGTGGGATGAAAGGACGGGACAATCAATAGTATATGGAGATTGGAGGGATGAAACCTCGTAGCCATTACGTCGTTGACAAGTTAGAGTTGCTGGTGCTGCGATTACTGAGTCCGCGCTGACCAGACATTCTAATTTCGAGCAGTATCAAGTTCTATCAAGCCGAGCAGCCGAACAAATAGCAATAATGAACAACAGTCTCCACCCTTGGGATGTGGGGAGACGGAATGTCCATTGTATGATTCCGGAAGTACGAGGAACAAAAATACCATGGACTGTACTTTTCGCTTCGAAGAGTTGTATCGGGTTAGTGATGATTATCCCTTTCACCCCTGTTAGGTAGTCTTTTGAGTTTGCGACGTCCCGAGAAATCTTGGAGTCTGAGAAAGTGGCCCCATCCAACCAATTAGAATCTCGATTCCCAGATTCCTGTTTCACGTCAAACCGAGATCCATGGATGTACCCGCTTGTGCCCAATTGAGGAGATTGATTGGCGCGGGGAAGCATGTCCGGTTGGTTAGGTAGGATGTACAGAAGGTGGGCCCAAATTTTGTACTTCAGCTGTGTAGGATCATACCTTGGTCTACTTCCCTAGACAGATTTCAATGTTTTACCTCTCTCATATTTAAAGATTATCCGGAGATATCGAGGGCATCATCATTGCCTCATTGTTCTGTCGCAGTGACACGTAGAGAATCCGGATGACAAGAAGGATGAAAAGGATAAACTAGAAGTTGGCGCTGCAGGGAGTGAGGCCATCCATCTCTTGAATTGAGTAGTCCAATTCATCCCGAAAAGCTTCAAGGATCTGGGTAGTTTTTATTGTCAAACCAAAGCATCAAGACTTCAAAAGATTGCGACGTGATCCTCAAGCCTCATAATATTTGAGAAGATAGTCCGAGGTACCTTGAAGACTGGAAAAATTTACAGCCAGCCACTCTAGTCCGCCACATCCGCACATAGGCCTCGATAAGAATGCACTTATTCATCATGGCTGGACACTAGATACCTAGATACCGGAGCCGAGACGCGAATCGCGATATTATGATTTATGCTGTGACATCCACCATTACCTAGGTAGATATGGAGTGGATAGTCCTTGCCTCGCCCTGGTTCTAGAAGGATTCCATACATAATCGACCGTTCTCGTAAGATCGGAAGGATAGCACCTAATCACCATGAGAGTGAGACGTGTCTCAATCAATATCCACCGAAGATTCCGACATTCCCATACAGACCGCTTTTTGCCTTCTACTCCGTAAGTGTTCTCTCATGAATATGACCAATCAAAGCGGTATGAAAAGAATGTATCCCTAGAAGCATGTTTGAGAAACAAATCAAAACACAATTCTCTTGTTGGGATTGGCAACGACGTCACCTCAGGAAGATCTCCCTGGACCCGACAGGCTGGTGTGGTACTGGTTTTACCATAAGTGGAGATCCACCAGGCACGCCTATCTTTCGAGGAAGAAGTCATTTCCTTGAGAGCTGGTAGGATCATGTTTGGGGCGTCTCATCTCAACTCTAGACTTGATCGTATGACAATAATATTTGGGTACCAGTTCCGGCATGGAACATGAAATGAGCACTATGCTCATCACTGTAATTAAAAGAGCTCCAAAGCCGAGCGTCCAGTCCTAATCTTATGACATCTGGTGATGTGCCTTCGATTCCTTGTCCGCCGAAGCGACGAGAAACAAGCCTGGGATGGACAGCTGTCATTGCTTTTGATATCAAATGATGTAAGCATGAGCTGATGAGGAGCCAACAATATACCTTAGAGATATAGAATATCCGATTCAGCGTATCACAAAATGCTAGACAGCCGTTGAGCCGTGTGTAAACAATCAAATACTAAGGTACCTATGGTACTGTGGGGCAGTTCAGTGCCCCGCTTCAAGAGAAACAATCGAAGCTGCCTTGCATAAGAATGGAATGTTGAATCAGCTGTCCATTGGAACAGAATCCTTCG